TAAGGTCTTGGTATCGTTACCGGGGCTCTATTGAGATTGCTTGTTGTGCCATCAAACGTGCAAGTGCGGATTTGGTTACGCCGCTGTTAGGAGTGCGGTTTGCTGTAACTGGCAAAAGCTGTTTCTGGCTGCACGAACTGCCTGTAATGTGGGACGCCCAGCCCGCCCCCGGCAGCGGGTCGCCTGCCGCCGCAGGTCAGTCAGGGAGAGCCTGCGTGAGGCACGGGTCGGTGGGTTTCACTGTCCTGTAGCACCGCAGGCTGTCACAGCTGACCCGCTGCCGTAAAGTGGTGTTGCCGTAAAGTGGTGTTGCTGACGGGTTGCTTCGACGTGCCGTGCTGTACCCCGCAGTGGTCTTGGAGCAGAGGTGTCCGGTTCGACGGTCAGTGCTGTCAAGGAAATAACCTTTGCGTTAGGATGCCGCGGATAGCTGGTGTTTTAACTGGAGGTTACTGGGGCCTCTGCCCAGCTAAATGTGGGTATTGCTGAGGTGCTTGTGGCGGTGGTTGAAGGAATCAAGTCTCTAAGCAGAATGTAGTGGCTGTAAGATTGTTTTTCAGAAGCTTTGTAGTGAGAGTCTTGTAGTGAGATTCAGGTTGATGTAAGAAATTAAGTCTTAATTTTGCCCTCGCTTTCTTGCAGGCTGCAGAAGATGTCAACGTTACTTTTGAAGATCAGCAGAAAATTAACAAGTTCGCAAGAAATACTAGCAGGATCACAGAGCTGAAAGAAGAAATAGAAGTGAAAAAGGTATATTTCCTTCAAATAGCGCTTGTTCTTCATTGGCCAGAAGTAACTTTCATCTGTAATACAGAAAACAGGGGCTGTGGATTACTGTAAATAACGCTTTGGTTCTGATAAGGATTTTTGATACTTTGAAAATAGCTAGAGAGTGTTAAAGTGGAAAAAGAAGTCATGAGAAATAAAGGCCACTAGTATATTTCTGCATGCAGTTCTTAGAAATCCTTAGTTGTTACATATGAAGCGTTGTTTATATATAATGGCTGTTTGTAGTAACATTTCCTGACTGAGATTGTTCATGTTTATTTTTACTTGAACCAGTGAGGCAGTTGTTTGTTACAGTCTTCCTTCAGTGTTTTGGCAGAGAGTGTGATTATGAGCACAGAGGTTTTCTTTTGCTAAAGAGGATACATCGTTCTAACATACTTGTTTAGTATGAATTCACTTTCCTTCACTCATAGCACTTCCAAAGAAGTTTTACCAAGTTTTTAAAAAATGCTAGTACTGTCACAAAATGTTTTCTATAATTACTTTGCCTGATATGCATGCTATAAAATGTTGCTGTTTTATGTTGATGTTCCATTGGTGGCTTAAGGTGCTGGGACTCTAAGCAATCTTATTTTTGCACTGAAGTAACTAAGATTTACTGTCTTACATATTATTTTTTTCTGTTCTCTAGCTAAATTTGAAAATTTCTGTGTAAAAAAAGCATATCAGATCTTAGTGAAATTTAAATTTGCTATATTTCCCGTGTCTAGACAGGTAATTATCCTATTAGTGACAGATAATGAGTATTGACTAGAAATTTCTACTGGTACAGCTCCATTGAATTTAATACTTGTGCTAAATGACAGCTCTGGAACTGTTCTGTTGAACATGTTGATATCAAGCTGGCAGGTAGGATTTTTGCCCCAAATACAGACTCACTGAGCTCGTTATTCAACTGATAGCATGGCAATGTATCGGTTGAAATAATTACCTAATGCAAAGTGACCGCCTTTCTTACGTCTTGATAAATAGAAACAACTTCAGAATTTGGAAGATGCTTGTGATGACATTATGATGCTTGATGATGGTGACTCACTCCTGATACCCTATCAAATTGGAGATGTCTTCATTAGTCATTCCCAAGAAGAGACACAAGAGATGCTGGAGGAGGCAAAGGTTTGTCTGGGCGAAAGGGAGCTCCTTTACTGGCTGCTGTAGCAGGATGAGTACTGGAATGGGATGATCTGTTCATCCTTTGAACCTTTAACTTTCTAAAGCTTATGTTTGATTTGTGATTTGAGGAGGCAGATGTGCATGCATGGAAGTCATAGCTGGGATGTCAGTATACAAAGTCGTGACAGTCTTTGTTTGGCCCCATAATAAGTCTTACAGCCTGACTTGGCAAAAAGTTGGAAAAGGGTTACCTCTTTATTGTTTATATGTTGCTGACAAACATGACTCGGTTTGTTTTACATAACTAGTTGATTTTTTTCTTTTTCAGAAAAATTTACAAGAAGAAATTGAAGCATTAGAATCCCGAGTGGAATCAATTCAGAGGGTGTTATCTGACCTGAAAGTTCAGCTTTATGCAAAGTTTGGGAATAACATAAATCTTGAGGCTGAGGACAGTTAAAGGTGTTCTAAATATACCATACAACTTTTCCTTGTTCTATTAAATGTTTTGATAATGTTGTTCTAACTAAATTTAAAAAAAAAAAAATCCACCGATTTATCTTCTTTTTTTTTTTACTTTTCTGTTTTGGGTTCCATCTATTTAATGAGAGGTTTCTTATTTTGGTTATTGCAGTTATTTATTTGTGCAGGAAATCATTAGCTTCATACTGTTGGTAAAGCATCAAGATTGGAATATTTCCAATGTTTATTAAGTAATAAAGTCAGGCACATATTGTAGTTTCCTTGGTCTTGTTTTCCACTCATGAAAATACTTAAGTATGAAAACAATAGAAATGGGGGATTTTTGGTTTGCACTGTAATGGTTGTTTGTTAAAAGTTTCTCTGTAGTGTATAGGGCATAATTCAGCTGTGATGCTATTTAACTGGTTTTAGTCGCCTCCTGGAAATACCAAATCTATCCTTTGTCTTTCAGCCATAGCTCAGATAGCATACACACTGGTAGCTCATTGCACAACGTGGCAACAAGTCGACAGGGAAGAAAGGAGGGCTCTTTAGAGCTTGCACTGGTATTAAACAAAAGCTTTTGGAGTCACAGTCATATTCAGTCATTTACTACTTTGTGTTTGGGAATCGTAAAAGATGCTGTAGCTCAGAATGATGACTTAACTTCTTCTAATTTTCCTGAACAATCATTTTCTAAATCCACATTTACATACCAAATTAACTTCAGAATTGTTCACAGATGATCTTGCTATGCCAGCATCAATGGAAGTCTGCCTCCATCCCTGTGTGGAGCTGAATGTAATTTTTAAATGTCTTTTCTGTCTCCTTACATCCTTAAAAAAATTATATACTGTCTCACTGTAATTCTGCTTTTGGACTTTTGCCTGCTTTAATTAATGTATTGTTCCATGGAAATACCTGCTCATTATGACTTTGCTAAGATTTAATTTCTAAAAACATACTTAAATCATCTTTTTAAGCTGTTTTCCAAAACAGTGCGGACAGAGAATTCAGTTGGCCCAATATTAATCTGTGGTCATTGTTCTTAATATAAATTAGCAGTATGAGGTGAGTATATTTTTATAAAGTGATTAATACCTACCTATCATGTGTCAGTTGTGTAGCATCTCTTCTTCAAACAGTGCAAATATGGAGGAAAACCCCCCTACTTGATTTCTCTATTATTGACATAGTTTTAACAGAGTGGGGATACTGAACTTGATCTTCTGAGCAGGATCCCACCAGTGCGTTGTTATTTACGTATTACAGCATTGTAACTGACATAGTTGTCTACACAAGCTGTATGTGAAGTGTAGCATAGCTGTAAGAGAAGGCTGTCTTTGACAGTGGAGATCCAACACCTCAACGCAAACGCTTGTGTTACATACACGTGTCGACTGGGGGCTTGTAAGTCTCAACAGCTGCATATACCTCTGCTGCTGGACCTGTGCACAAATACCCTGGCTATAACTGTACAGATTTTTAGCCTTTTTTTCTGACTGGTTGCAGTTTTAATTCAAGCCTGTGCATCAGGAAAGAGTTCAAGTTACTCCTTACTTCCTGAGTGAATACTTTAGCTACTCTTAGATAAAATGTGGATGTGGTAGCCATGGCAACTCTGCTGCTCTATCTGCCAGCCACTGCTTGTAGCAAATCAAGTGTGTGGGGCAGTCAAGGAGATACAGGTGCTCCTTCATGTAATTTTTGAACCCTCCATACAGTTTTCTGTGTTAGGCAGGCGTTTGGCACCAAACTACTTAGAGTAGTTCTGGGTTGACCCAGAGGTGTAATTTTAGGCACTAAAGGGAGAAGGTGGCCAGTTATTTGATAGCAGCTGATACGAATATTGTGGACTTGGGTGACTTGGCTCTGCCTTATCCTGCTTTATTAGATGCAGCTCTTAGTCCAAAACTGTCTGAGAGCAAGGTTACTGCCTTAGGAGGTGCTGGTATCTTGAGGTTTTTTTCTAAAGAGCCAAACCATTCATTTGGTCTGTTAAAGTAAACCACCCAGTGCACTTGTCTTTGTAGTTATAAACCAAAGAAAATGTGAAAGACTTCTTCCAGGTGAAAACTGAGCTAGTGATGGAGTTTGACCCATCATGAGAAGCAACCAGCAGATGGCATCAAAGAACCGGGAAACCCATTTTACGGTAAGCCGATGCCTAGGCTGTGAGTGCCAGTGCTGAATTTAGAAAGGTGAAAGTGTGACTGCAGTGATCACTATCTCATTAATTGGTTGGCGACACCTTAAATGTCACTCCTAAGTGACTGCTGTGCCAGCTCTGCTGTTCCGAGCATATTCATGGCTGTGCAGACTGCAGGTATTCCAAATGGTTGTGATTTCCAGAATGGCCATGGTATGGATATAGCTTTGTTACAGAAAAGAAAAAGGCAGCTAGTGAAGTTTAACTGTGATTCCAGTGGGAGCTATAAAGCCAAAGAGCACCTTAGTTCAGTAAAGGACCCAAAGGGAGAATGCTGGCAAGGTGTGGAGAGCTTGCATTATCTCTGTTCTTTGGTATCCTAGAAGTGGAACTGTCCCTATTGCAGCCCGGGTGTTTAGGGAAAAGAAGGTTAAGAGTGTTCTTGGGAATGCCAAAGGCCTTTCCTCTCTCGTGCTGGGTTTCAGTTGTTTGGGGTTTGTTTTGTGACCCCACTCCCTTATTTTCTTTCTGTTTTCTGGTTATCATGATGGTGTATTTTAGGTCATTTCACTAGGCCTTCCTGCAATAGTAGTTTAGAGTTTAGGCTTTCATGCATACGATGCATCTTTCCTGTTTGCTTAGTCCTTACTACAAATTGTATGTCCATGCAGCCTTGAAAATCTAGGTGCCTTTTTGCACGTGTAATGTCCAGTTTCCTTGTATGGTTTGGACAATTGTGTTTGCAAGTCAGGCAAGTAATTGCAAACTTTTTCAGATTAGTCTCTGGATTTTTGTAGTTTAGAGAACTGGTGTCCCAGGCTACCATTTGATATTTTTATATGTGTAAAATAGAACATGCAGGAAACTTCTTGTTCCTAAGTTGTCATTGTAAAAGTTAGTTTGCAGATTGTCCATCATTGGCTTGAAAGTATTTGACAGAGTCCTAGTTTTTCCTTTTAATAAACTGTTTCATCCCTAGTGAATATATGCAGTTGTTTTTCAGTTGGCATTTATTCTGTTTAGCCCCCCCATCCTCCAAGTACTTCTTATTTTTGGTAGATTGGAAATTTCTGTTATCTCTAATGTTTGCCTTACAGTTGTCTTGTTCTGACAATGTAAGTCCATGAAAAAAAACCCTGATCCTCTGTGCACCTCTGTGCATGTCATGAATCATTTAGCTGCACTTGACAGTATGCATTTTTTAGTATAGTTATCAGAATGCAAATCGTTCACTGTCGTTCTCTGTATTGTCAAGGGAATGACATTTGTAAAGCACTTGAAAGATGAAATGCACCATAAAAGTGCTAAGTGTTATTTTAATCTAAGGGCTTTGTTTAGAGCATTGGGCCAGCGATCTTTTATGATGCCTTGGTGATTGAATTAGCTATTCAGCTCTATCTTTGTATTAAAACACAGTTTCTATACTGCTTTTGTTTTGCAAGTCATAGAGCCACCAGTGGCTGGATTTTCACTTGGTTGCAGCAATTAAAGCAGATGAACTAGCAAAACTGCAGCAGTGAAATACAGCTTGTTTCAGTGTATGATGTCAAGGAGACTGAACTTTTCAATTTTTCAAAGTAGCTTGCTAAAAACTCTATAAAACATAGTAGGACACAATTATTATATTTTCAGGGGCTTGTTTGTGATTCTGTATTCTGTCAGCTGATATAAAAATGCTTTCCACGTGATAATCTCTAGCATAACCTTCTCCATTGGAACCTTCATTATTGCTCGTCGCTTTTGTATGGAAGGTCCTCAGATACCGTTACAGTCCATGATATAAACGTAGTTGATAATAATTCAATAATTACAGGAAGTAGTGTGTAGCCAAAGTACAGATAATTTTGTGGTATTGTCACTTCAAAGGGCAAAGAGATTGAATGCTGAATTCTAATGCTGTATTTTCTGTAGGAGCAACAGAATTAGGTAGTTTGGTTTGTACGAATCCGTGGTTCAGATAATTTATCTAATGTTATTCTAATAGTCTGATTCATGAAAGAGGAAAAAAATGTGGATGTATATAGGCATGATAAGGCCTGACAGAAATTATTTACAACCAAGTTTGTCCTTATATTGATTGTATGAATCATACAGAAAAACAAATCATTTTGTAATTAAATGCTAGCTGGTGATGGGACTGTACAGAACACAGTGCACCAAGCACAGGTGTAAATGGCTGTGAAGGATTTCCCTCTGCAAGAGGTGAAACACATTTGCACTTAAGGGGGACTGCATCCAGCTGTTAAGGACCTGTAATAAAAAAATTATAAACCCCAATAGAACATCAGCCATTTACTGCAGATTTACAAAAATCTTTTGTTTGCTGTTGCTCTCCGAAGCTGGTGGGTATACTGTGGCTTTGATCTCAGTCCATAAACTGCAGGTATCATTAGGTGACCCTCTATACTCCTGCCAGCCAGCCCACACTTGAGGACTCTGAGTGGTGGGGTGCAGGTTTATAATGTAAGTTCATCGAAGGACTGCTTCAGGATAGCTACTGCGGTCTGGTCTGGCATTGTTACCGCTTGTACAGGGGAGAGGAGAGACAAGATGTACTTGATGTTGAAATAAAGGCTTGGCCAGTACTATACCTGGCCATTTCCTTAAGGAAATTAGGAAAAATTCCTGTTTGCTTTCTTGACACAGCCCAGCACAGGTGAGGAAAAACACTGTTTGGTGGATTTTTAGATTCTGTCAAGTTTTACCCCTTCAGGCATGGTACAGAAGTCCATCGTCTTGTCACGTTTGGATGATTTTCTTGTTTGATTGTGCATTCCAGACTTACAGTGCTCTGGTAAAGTTAGAACTTTTTTTTAATTACACTTACAGTTGAAATTTCTACTGTCTGTTAGGTGTCTGGAAGAAGTGTGAGTTAAATCAGACTTGTTAGTAAGGGCTAGTCATTGAACAACAACAACTGATAGCACACAAGTATAAAACTTGACTGCCTTTGGGTACACCATAGTGGTAAATCAACCTAGATAAAAATTATTAATCTCAACTCACATGGCTAAGGACTGATGGCAACTCTACACCCAAGACTGTTTTTTTTATTAACACTTTGGGGGAAAATAATAAAACTTTCCATTTCACTTCTGTTGTGAAAGCTCTTTCTTCCCCAGTTGCT